AATGTGTGAACTTAGATCTTTATGTAACAAAAATTGTTTAAATAAACAATGAAATTGAATGCAACTTTTATATGACATAAAATTAGATGTTAAGTGGTGACGATTCGCCGTGTAACTATAGATTAAATGAAAATTACGTTTAATAAACATCCACAATGATAGTTTTCATCACTTAAGGCCTCATATTTACATGTGTAAATGGGTTGGGGGAATCGAACCTCATTTTTGAATATTAGTAAAAATTATTTTCATTAACTTAAAAAAGTCCACTCCTTTTTTTGTTGAACTTGGGGGTTATTTTGGGTGTATTGTTTTAATTATCTAATCTAATTTGTATTATTTGAGTACTCGATAAGGTTAGTCCCGACTGATTAGCCAAGCCCTTGCTTATGTTCTTTGATAGAGAACTTACACCTTACCCCTTATAGTCGCTAATTTCATAAAAGAACAATTTGTATTCTGTCAACAAAATGTGCTTAACACAACCTATAACGTAAATGCATTTGAACCTCTTCTAAACTATGTTTTTGAGCTAACAAAATCAGACTTCATTAACAAGGGTCTCTCTCTCAAAAAAATAAAAATAAAAAATAAATAAATTGACTGTTAATTTTACATTTTTCTTTCTTATTTTTGAATTGAATAGCATTTGATTATGCATAATTCTTATGATCTGGCTAATATTTAAAGTTATTATTCTTGTTCAATGCTATGCCATTATTTCCAAAAATTTGAAATCCATGTTCAGTGTCAACATTAAATGTCATACCAAAATAACGCTCACAGCAGTAAATGTGAAAATGACAAAACTGAAAAATCCAAAATCAATTATAAGTTTTTTATTACTTCTACAAAAAGAGTCTGACAATATGCTGGGAAATTTATAATTTATAAATATTTTAATGTTTAATTAATCATTACTTAATTAATGGTAATACAGTGGTGCTGATGCAAAACTTGTCATCAAAGCTATCACACCTTGCAGAATTTCACACGCTTGCGTAGCATCTAGGTATCTATGTAATATTCTCTTTAATCAAATTTTTTGACATTCAGTTAAAAATTTCAAAATATTCACAAGTTATAGAATTGACCTCCCCACTTTAATGAACTTCTTCTTATGCATGACGTGAAAAGAGAACTATAGTTATAATTCTTTAAACTTATAATCGTTTTATATAACCATCATTAAGGGTTTCTTACCACGCCAACGATTGGAAGTTAAACCTTGATTACTTGTCCATATTCTTTGTGTGAGAAAATGAGTAAAAGGAAAAGGACACATTGTAGAAAGAGCATACCATAATTTGGAGGGGTTTTGTTATTTGTATAGCTCCCTCACAATAGGGAGGGTATGCGCCCAAAAATTAAAATTAGAGTTTTACTATATTTTGATAAAAGTTAATGAATTGTGTGATTAAAATGCTGTGAATTCCATAAAACATGTTATTGAAATTAATTGCTAATTTTAATTTTAATTAAGATCTTGATTTTAGTCCTACCAAACATGGGCAAAATGTAAAAGTAATGACATTGCAATTCTAAATATGATAATTTTCACGAATAAAAATATTGACTTGATACTTGATGAAGAGTATAAAAGTCAAGTTCGTTCTTAATATCTACATTATCCCTCGTTTTTTTGCAATGTACATGCCTAATAAAAATTCTAATTGCTCCAATCTCCTAATTGAAAAGAATTATACTATGTGTACAACACCTGCTCTACACTCATTTTAACAGCCTACTCACATGAGTGGGCCCCTACGATTATTTTAATCACTGGATCCACTTGTGTGATGTGAGAGGGTTGTTAAAGATAGTGTAAAAATGAGTGTACTTGTAGCATAATTCAATTGAAAACCCCAAAATCTTTTGGAGAATAATAATAAAAAAAAAAAAAACTCTAATTGTGCTTGTCCAAGAGAGCCCGATCCAAAAAAGTGTGGTTCTCAAAATGAGCATATGCTTGTTTACTTGATCCAACTGCCCAATGTTGATAATGGTAGCCAACAATTAGAAGAAGACAGACTAAGTTACGATCCAAAGTAATCTTAACATCTTGGCAGCATGGGGACAGTGACAGATCTAGGATTCTTGATCACTGAGGCGATCGTGGATCGTCGACCGTCCACCATCCATCGTCATTTTCTACTTTTCATTCAACCAAAGAACGGGTTACTAGATGCAATTTCTAAGTGCTTCTGCGTATGTCCAAAAGACAAACTTAGCCATCTTTCTTCCATGAACAATGTATGAAGAAGCATACTACAAAGTGCAAAAGTTAAGTGCATTTTGGTTTAGGAAAAGAATATAACAAGAAACCAAGGGTAAAATCCAAATCGTTTTTACAGCTCTAAGCATTGAATTATTATCCCTCTACAAACATTTCCAAAGGCATAAAGCTTAAGAAGATGTGATCAGATAAAAATAGAATCTTCAGACAAACATAAGAGCCTGTTCAATAACATAATTCAGCACTATCTATTAGTCTACCACCATAATTTGAAAAGAAATTAACAATTGCACGAGAACAACAAAAAGGACTCAGAATTTAGCCCAAAAGGCTCAAATCATTTAAAGTCTCATTCAATAATTATAATTCGTGAGAGCACAAAAACAACAATACTCCAAAAGAAAATTTCCAATAAAGCAAAAATACACACATGTACAACAAAACATCATCAGTGCTAAGTCATAAAAACCTTGTATAAAGACAATAAACTAACTATCATACGCCTACATATAAATTTACACTCGTAAGTCATAAATCATAACTCATAACTCACACTTTCATAGTTATAACATAGATCATAAATATATAAAAAAAAAATTGGAGTCTAAAAAAAAAAAAACCAAAAATTGAAAAAAGAAGAGGCAGTTGACTGAGACTCACGAAGAGAAAGACGAAAATATAGTGGGTCAGCGGCGGAGATCAAAGAAGCTCGAAGGCGACTCGGCGCAGCCTATAACGGGTCTTAAGGCGCGGTAGGGAGGAAATGAGATAGGGTTTGGAATTGCGACTTGTTCTCTCATTTCGCAATTGAATTAACTGTTACAATTACACAATATATACCTAGCAGCTGCATCCAACATTTTGGGCCTACGTTTTTTGAAAAAATGAAAGGAAAGAGAGGTGCATCAGAAGAAAAGGCCCAGAATTAAAAAATAACTATAATCTTCCAAATTCCTCGATTCCTCCATTCATGGCGCCTAAACTTCAATCTTCACAATTTCTCCTTAGCTTCAATGTCAATTGTAAATTTCATGGAGCCAACATGCGTGGCCACGCCTCCTCGCCAGGTGTTGGATCTGCAACTGTATAGGGATCAAAATGCTTCAAGGTAACTACAGCATAAAAAGTTACTTTTTTCTAATATTAAAATTGCTTATAATTTATTTTGGGCTTAATTACATGGGTATAAAAAATTGATCAAGGTTGTCAATACAGTACAATATGTGTATTTGAATTTCATTATAAGTAACTTACAAAAAGATTATAATAAAATTGAACACACTGATTTTTTTATTTTTTATTTTTTCCTAATAGACTTCTAATGAGTACAATTTAGGTTAACCTCAATCATAATGATCTCAACCCGAGGAGATAATGATCCTCGAGGTGCCTCATTGGACCAAAGCATCAATGGTGTCCATGAGATTGAGATCATGTACCCCATGACATCCTTAAATGATTTCGACCCCTTATTGCGCTCGCTCGCTCGCTCTCTCTCTCTCTCTCTCCATTTTGAGGTCTGTAAATTGTGACAGTAGGCAAATCACCCGACTTATTTAGTAGTTATTTAAATTATATTCCTTTTAAGTTATATTCATGAGCTTGCACGGCCCACTTTTCTTCATTCAATTTTTGGGTCTGCACACCCATTATTACTTTGTGAAGTTGAATAAGTAATGACTTATAGATTGTCTTGAACATATCACGAGGAAAAATGTAATCCATTGGTCTTGTACTTGCTAGAGTATACTCCCCTAATAATGTCAAGTGTTCATCCTATGAAGCATATAAAAACAAATTTGCTACACAAGTGCGTCGAGCTTTGCCCCGAGTAGTCACCTCAAGCTTGAATATATCTAAAGGGGTGTATTTAATTCAAACTTTTAATGATTTTTTGAAATTTAAAAAGTTTTGGAGTATTCAATTGAGATTTTTTGAGACTCTCTAAAAGTCACGATGTATTCAATTGAAACTTTTATAGACTTTTAAAAAGTCTTTAAAGTTACAGTATAATCAATTAAGCTCCCATTTGACCTCCATTAGATTACATTCCATTACATTTTATTTTTCTTTCTCATATTTTCAACCCCACAATATTCCATAAACTAATACTGCACGTAAATCGAAAACATTTTTTCCTTTTCAACCATTCATTTTTCAAAAAAATATTATTTCACCTTTTTTTATTTCTAGAAAATGGGGGCCAAACGAAGGCTAAAACTTTTTAGAAGTTTCTACAAGTCTTGGAGTATTCAAATTTTAATGACTTCTAAAGATTTTTATAAAAGTCTCTGGAATACTAACTTTTAAGTAGAAAATACTCATATAAATTTTTAAAATTTGTCTCTCATTTATCACGAGATTTTAGTAGACTTTTAACTTTTCATGGACATGTATGATTAAAATTTATTTTTTTCTATTGATTATATTACATTTATCTTTCTTTCTCTTATTATTTATCTTTATTTTCTATAAAAAATAAAATTGGATTCTTATAACTTTTTTTTTTCTTTTTTCATTCATTTTTTTGTGAAAAATTTTATATGACAAATTTATAATTAAATGTAAATACATTATTTTTTTTACTTATTTTAAAGAATATTATATTAATAATATTGAATATTAAATTTATTTTTTAGCACGCACGCACACATTATTGTATGAAATCCACGTGAATTCTAATTCAAATGAAAGTTTTCAAAAGTTTTCAAAAGTTTTTTTTTTGTTCATGGAAGTGGGCTTCAGCAGTTGTCATACTTCCGTGGTGAATTTAGGTTTTCAGATCATAGGCCCGTGTCTAGCATGTTTTGGGCCGAGATAGAGTCAGTCCCCAACCGGTTGAGGAAGAGCATGAGTTGTTCCAACTCCAGGATTGAGGTGGAAGAGCTGTTACCATACTCGCATGGTTATACAGAGCTCTGCTTTTTTTGAAGGAGGGTATGATTGTAAACTTATGATCCGGGTACGCGCTCTCCTCACTCTCTTTCCCCCAAGTGCATCTAAATTTGCATGCTCTCTCTCCTTGGGCATATAACAATTGCATGCTTTGCTGTATGCTGTCTAATTATTATGATTATGTTTGGCACACATATTGAGTAGATTCTAGCCTTTTTTTTCCTACGTTAATGCTGTATAGGACTTTCGGGTCCACCTAACCAAACATGCTTGTGTCCTTGTGCATCTCAATTTTAATTGTAATTTTTTCACCCATGCCTAAGCTATGACAACAAACATGATTTAAATGAACTCGTTCAATTTTCATGGTTACCGGTGATCTTTTTCCCATTTTGTTTCAATATTGTTTTGCGGCTAGTTTCACATGCCAAGATAATAATTGTCCTAGGCATGTGCTTTCGTCTAGTTAAGCGTCACATAAATTGCTTCTTCATTTAATGGTAATTTCAAGCCGAATGCACCTCTTCTTATATGTGTTGTTGGTCCCCATTGGTAGGTGGCAATTGTTTTAAAGAAACTCAACCTAAAGGGTGATGGGGACGATCCTTTGCCCATAAATCGATAAAGGTGAGCTTTCATCTTCTTTTACTTTTCCTTGATGGTACTGCAGATTTATGTTCTATTCTCTAATTTTCTTGTTTTCTACTCAGGTGTAGATACTTCAAATTTTTGATAGCTAACTTGGAAAGACCGGACATGATTAACCAAAGACCACTGTTAACTTCCTCTCTAATTATATTTCATTTTGGAGTTCGATTCAATTTCAAGATTCACCGCTTCCCACTTTATGGCATCTCTAAGTTTCATACTGCAGTTTCAACCCTCCTTTATCAGCAGGTACCTTCCCGTTAGCTGTTAATCACGTTCAGCATGTTCATTTAGCAGTTCACAGGGGACTGAACACTGCTATGAATAAGATTTAAATTTCTTTTTCTCGAGTATGATAAAATGTTTAGTTACTAAAGAAGTACTAAAAATTTGCAGGACAAAAATGAACTGAATGGCAAGTGGGAATACCAGATTGAATTCTTTTTATTCGACGATTCTTTATGGATGAAGATTCAGAATAATTATTTCATTTTTACTTTTTTGTTTTTAATGAGTAGAGACGTGAGAATCTGATGTGAACCGAGGCTAACGTGACAGTAAAAGCATGATATATGAATACTTGTGCTCTGTTTGTGCCAATGATTTTACTGAAAAGTGATTCTTTTTTGTTCCCTCCCATCCCATCTATACTGTTATCTGCTTTTCTTTTCTCCATAAACGAACAACAAATAAAAGAGAGAGAGAGGACAGATTTGCAGAAATGGCAGGTGAATTGAGAGAGGAAGCTTGACTTTTAAGAAATTCCCTCCTTTTATTTTTCCCTCTTTTCGGCAGAGATGCTAGTCACATCGCTCTTGGACTGCCAATAATTAGTGCAGTTTCTTCTGTTTTTGGGTATAGTGTGTGGGTTGGGTTGGCGGTGGGAGTTGGTGTGGACTCAAAAGAATGAATAATGTTATTTATAGTCGTTAATTATGGTAGCCGCCTTATGTGACATCTTATATGATGATTTGTGATTTGATATATTATTATGATAGTTTTTTCTTATCACATATATTAAATCACTAATCCTCACATGTCTGTTACTTAAGGTCACTGTGATAATGAGTGACTGTAAATAACTTTATTCGAAATGAACTACAATAATTAGAGGTTAATTCTAAGAAACATGAAACATCTATGTAGCAATAAGAGAAAATTCGAGCTGTGTCAACCTTCGAGGTAGGTTGGTTGTCTCTAACATTTCAAAATAAAGTAGTGGTCGTTAACTTATTTTTAAATGTGGAAATTACACACATTCCTTACTTTTAACTCACCATTTCAAAAATCAGATTTTAACTTAATTCTTTAAAAAATGAGGTCTATACTATAATCGTATCTCACCTCTTATCACCCCATCCATCCTTTTATCCATTTTGTCCAAGTCACAATTAGCATCCACTCCCAAAACCATTGCTTGCCATTACTGCTGCCCGTACCACCACTTCCACCATCGTTGCCCGCAACCTCCCCATTTCGCATCCACCCTAGTTGTAGAAAACGTAACCCTAATCCTAACCCCAAACCCATTTGTCGCCCCGCAACCTCCCAATTCCACATCCACCCTAGTTGTAGAAACCATAACCCTAATCCTAACCCCATACCCATTTTTCACATCAATTGAACGGTTTTATGATTTGCTCGGCCCCCAATTTGTATTGTGAGGTCGATTGAAGGCACGGAGGGAGACAACGACATGATCGCGTCACCGGTGCAGTCCATTTCACGTAATTAAGTGATGGAAGGAAACTTTGAATGGGGCGACGGTGTGAGGGTCCTCGCGAACTGAATGGATTTAGGATCTATTGGGCCCCAGTATGTAGCGTGAGGCTGGTCGAAGACAGGAAGGGAGAATGGGAGATGATGGCATGATTCAGCCGTCGATATAATCCATTTTCGATGGTTTGGAAGGAAGCTTTTGCGTGGGTTAGGGATGATGTGGGATGGGTGTGATGTTGGTTTGTGATTAATTAATTTGATAATTTGTAATCAACAAATAATTTGTGCCTTAAATAAAACACACTTACAACTAAATTTGCTATTGTGACCTATAAATTGTATCTTTATAACTATGAAGTTGGACAATTTGTGATTAATACCTTATCGTGATTATAAATTATGCATTATTGTGACCTTGACCCGTTCAATTAATTATAAGTCACAAAATTGTATTTTTGAACTTTTTCGCAAGTTTCTTATTTTTGAAAGTGTGGAATTAAACCTTTGTAGTTAATTTTTTTTTCAAATTATTTAGATATGTGAACTTAGATCTTTATGTAACAAAAATTGTTTAAATAAACAATGAAATTGAATGCAACTTTTATATGACATAAAATTAGATGTTAAGTCGTGACGATTCGCCGTGTGACTCTAGATTAAATGAAAATTACGTTTAATAAACATCCACAATGATAGTTTTCATCACTTAAGGCCTCATATTTACATGTGTAAATGGGTTGGGGGAATCGAACCTCATTTTTGAATATAAGTAAAAATTATTTTCATTAACTTAAAAAAGTCCACTCCTTTTTTTGTTGAACTTGGGGGTTATTTTGGGTGTATTGTTTTAATTCTCTAATCTAATTTGTATTATTTGAGTACTCGATAAGGTTAGTCCCGACTGATTAGCCAAGCCCTTGCTTATGTTCTTGATAGAGAACTTACACCTTACCCCTTATAGTCGCTAATTTCATAAAAGAACAATTTGTATTCTTTCAACAAAATGTGCTTAACACAACCTATAACGTAAATGCATTTGAAACTCTTCTAAACTATGTTTTTGAGCTAACAAAATCAGACTTCATTAACGAGGGTCTCTCTCTCAAAAAAAAAAAATAATAAATAAATAAATTGACTGTTAATTTTACATTTTTCTTTCTTATTTTTGAATTGAATAGCATTTGATTATGCATAATTCTTATGATCTGGCTAATATTTAAAGTTATTATTCTTGTTCAATGCTATGCCATTATTTCCAAAAATTTGAAATCCATGTTCAGTGTCAACATTAAATGTCATACCAAAATAACGCTCACAGCAGTAAATGTGAAAATGACAAAACTGAAAAATCCAAAATCAATTATAAGTTTTTTATTACTTCTACAAAAAGAGTCTGACAATATGCTGGGAAATTTATAATTTATAAATATTTTAATGTTTAATTAATCATTACTTAATTAATGGTAATACAGTGGTGCTGATGCAAAACTTGTCATCAAAGCTATCACACCTTGCAGAATTTCACACGCTTGCGTAGCATCTAGGTATCTATGTAATATTCTCTTTAATCAAATTTTTTGACATTCAGTTAAAAATTTCAAAATATTCACAAGTTATAGAATTGACCTCCCCACTTTAATGAACTTCTTCTTATGCATGACGTGAAAAGAGAACTATAGTTATAATTCTTTAAACTTATAATCGTTTTATATAACCATCATTAAGGGTTTCTTACCACGCCAACGATTGGAAGTTAAACCTTGATTACTTGTCCATATTCTTTGTGTGAGAAAATGAGTAAAAGGAAAAGGACACATTGTAGAAAGAGCATACCATAATTTGGAGGGGTTTTGTTATTTGTATAGCTCCCTCACAATAGGGAGGGTATGCGCCCAAAAATTAAAATTAGAGTTTTACTATATTTTGATCAAAGTTAATGAATTGTGTGATTAAAATGTTGTGAATTCCATAAAACATGTTATTGAAATTAATTGCTAATTTTAATTTTAATTAAGATCTTGATTTTAGTCCTACCAAACATGGGCAAAATGTAAAAGTAATGACATTGCAATTCTAAATATGATAATTTTCACGAATAAAAATATTGACTTGATACTTGATGAAGAGTATAAAAGTCAAGTTCGTTCTTAATATCTACATTATCCCTCGTTTTTTTGCAATGTACATGCCTAATAAAAATTCTAATTGCTCCAATCTCCTAATTGAAAAGAATTATACTATGTGTACAACACCTGCTCTACACTCATTTTAACAGCCTACTCACATGAGTGGGCCCCTACGATTATTTTAATCACTGGATCCACTTGTGTGATGTGAGAGGGTTGTTAAAGATAGTGTAAAAATGAGTGTACTTGTAGCATAATTCAATTGAAAACCCCAAAATCTTTTGGAGAATAATAATAAAAAAAAAAAAAACTCTAATTGTGCTTGTCCAAGAGAGCCCGATCCAAAAAAGTGTGGTTCTCAAAATGAGCATATGCTTGTTTACTTGATCCAAATGCCCAATGTTGATAATGGTAGCCAACAATTAGAAGAAGACAGACTAAGTTACGATCCAAAGTAATCTTAACATCTTGGCAGCATGGGGACAGTGACAGATCTAGGATTCTTGGTCACTGAGGCGATCGTGGATCGTCGACCGTCCACCATCCATCGTCATTTTCTACTTTTCATTCAACCAAAGAACGGGTTACTAGATGCAATTTCTAAGTGCTTCTGCGTATGTCCAAAAGACAAACTTAGCCATCTTTCTTCCATGAACAATGTATGAAGAAGCATACTACAAAGTGCAAAAGTTAAGTGCATTTTGGTTTAGGAAAAGAATATAACAAGAAACCAAGGGTAAAATCCAAATCGTTTTTACAGCTCTAAGCACTGAATTATTATCCCTCTACAAACATTTCCAAAGGCATAAAGCTTAAGAAGATGTGATCAGATAAAAATAGAATCTTCAGACAAACATAAGAGCCTGTTCAATAACATAATTCAGCACTATCTATTAGTCTACCACCATAATTTGAAAAGAAATTAACAATTGCACGAGAACAACAAAAAGGACTCAGAATTTAGCCCAAAAGGCTCAAATCATTTAAAGTCTCATTCAATAATTATAATTCGTGAGAGCACAAAAACAACAATACTCCAAAAGAAAATTTCCAATAAAGCAAAAATACACACATGTACAACAAAACATCATCAGTGCTAAGTCATAAAAACCTTGTATAAAGACAATAAACTAACTATCATACGCCTACATATAAATTTACACTCGTAAGTCATAAATCATAACTCATAACTCACACTTTCATAGTTATAACATAGATCATAAATAAAAAAAAAAAAATTGGAGTCTAAAAAAAAAAAACCAAAAATTGAAAAAAGAAGAGGCAGTTGACTGAGACTCACGAAGAGAAAGACGAAAATATAGTGGGTCAGCGGCGGAGATCAAAGAAGCTCGAAGGCGACTCGGCGCAGCCTATAACGGGTCTCAAGGCGCGGTAGGGAGGAAATGAGATAGGGTTTGGAATTGCGACTTGTTCTCTCATTTCGCAATTGAATTAACTGTTACAATTACACAATATATACCTAGCAGCTGCATCCAACATTTTGGGCCTACGTTTTTTGAAAAAATGAAAGGAAAGAGAGGTGCATCAGAAGAAAAGGCCCAGAATTAAAAAATAACTATAATCTTCCAAATTCCTCGATTCCTCCATTCATGGCGCCTAAACTTCAATCTTCACAATTTCTCCTTAGCTTCAATGTCAATTGTAAATTTCATGGAGCCAACATGCGTGGCCACGCCTCCTCGCCAGGTGTTGGATCTGCAACTGTATAGGGATCAAAATGCTTCAAGGTAACTACAGCATAAAAAGTTAATTTTTTCTAATATTAAA